CACAATTACCATGCTGAAGCAGACTGTTGCAACTGTGGTTGCACTGGTTCGTGGTTCACTTTCTTCTGACTTGGGATCTGACTCAGACTCAAACACATATAGGCTCTGGCCACATACAGTGCTGGCCATCTCCAGCATCAAAACACGTCAGGCATGGCATTGAGGAGAGCGTGGATAAGGCACGATGGAGTTCGCCAATCAGAGCATTGGGCATTTACTTGCATTTTTGAAAAAGGTAACGCCCCGTGAGTGCAAACTTTACAAGCTAACCTCTAGAAATATACAGTAGGCCTAGGTAAAGAACTGAAAATGCATTTCATGACCCCTTTAAAATTTAGAATTTTGAAATATATTTGTAATTCTTGTGATCTGCTCATATTCAAAGTGAAACAAAGTGAAACTGTGCAGTTGTTTCACCTATTTCTACGTGATCTTACCGTTAAAATGACGATCATTTGTCTAAGCTAAAAACGGGTAATTTAGTCGCACCACATATAGCACATATCAGGTTACCTGACAAAATATTAGATGGTGTAGACCCGTGCAGCATCATTCGTGTCTTAAGGCATATATATGATGGACATCTTTAGAATGGAGTATGACTCTTTATGGAAAAAGCCTCTGCCGTCCAGGGTTGCGCTATAGACGTGCTGCAGTCGCTTCCCATTTTCTGTAGGTTACTATGTGTATACGTCCTTTAGCGCAACGCTTTCCCCAGCGCAACGACATTAAAATAAACCGTAACATCTCTAATTAAGCATTTTCATCGGAACATTTACGCTTCATGAGAGACATCAAGTCGAAAGAGTTTACTGCGCAAGCAGCTGTCATGGTCATGAACCATCTTATTACAGTCGCGCTCGCATACACACGTAGGCTATTTTCATTAATATTTAACAATGCGTTCTCAGAGAGGAGTAAATTAAACATTCGTACCTGTGAGACTGTAGCTGTTGCAGTTCAGTCGTTAGCGTCGTTCATTCATTTGTCTTTTGAATTTCCTTCAGCAATAATGCCCGTGAAGACATTGCGACACAAATACAGCGCCTAGGTTCGTTCGTTCGTTCGTTCTAGAGAGAGAGAGAGAGAGAGAGAGAGAGAGAGAGAGAGAGAGAGAGAGAGAGTTTTCTTGTTGTGACACCTGTGTCACAACAAGAAAACTAATCATATGTAGATGTTATATAAATATCTATTCATGAGATCAGTCTGAATCATCAGTTGTAAAGGCAACTATGAAAATATGAGTGCATTTTGGGTTTTTGTTTGCATACAGTTGCAATCTGAATAATTCAATCCTCTTGACCTGCAAGACATTCTGCTACTGTGAACAAAATTATATGAAAACAATCAAACCGAACTACTATATAAAGTTTAGTATACCCTTTTGAGTTGTTCTGAGCAAGTAAAGTTGATGAAAAATAAATTAAATTCACTTTTACTGATTTATTTAGAGAATCTTTTATTTCTTTATAAACGTTGCTTATAATACGTTTCTGAGACCTCTCTACTGGGATCTTAACACATTCCTTGCTTGAAAAAGCTTCCAGATCACTCATGATCTTTGTTTTTCATGTTGCCACTGCTTTAGTCAAATCCCACTAAAGATTTTTAATAAGATTTAAATCTGATGACTGAACAGGCCACTCAAGAACACTTTATGACCCATCTCTGAACCAAACTTGCGTATGTTTGGATGTACAGTATTTGGGATGATTGTCCCATTGGAATGTCCAGTGATCATCAAGCTTTAGTCTATGCACTGGAGGCTTAATTATCTTTGCCAATGGCCTCATACATTAAAGAATCCATTATGTCCTTGATACAGTAAAGATTACCACTTCATGCAACAGCAAATTCCCCTAACAAGACTGGTCCACCTCTATGTTTGACCGTGGTGGTGATGGTGTTCTTCAGCTCATGAGCTTTGCCTTTTTTTGTACCAGACAACGCTGATCCATTACATCTCTCATAAAACATTCTTCAAGAACTGCACAGGTCTATCCAAATTTATTTTAGCTTATTTAAGTTGGCATTTTATATTCTCCTCAGTCTAGAGTACACTCTAAAAAATGCTGGGTTAAATATAACCCAGCGCTGGGTTAAAAAGGGACAAACCCAGCTATTGGGTTGTTTTGACCCAGCGGTTGGGTTGTTTTGAACCCAACTGCTGGGTCAAAACAACCCAACCGCTAGGTCAAAACAACCCAATAGCTGGGTCTGGGTTAAATATAACCCAGCATTTTTTAGAGTGTAGTGTTGTCACAGTAGACACAACAAGATGTCCCAACATGATGGCCATGCTTTTTTAGTGTTTGCCTTATACTCTGCATTGAAATATTTGGAAGTAAACTGAGGGTTTTCTGAGTTGGTCTCATCAAACATTTTACTACCCTTGATGGTATTGTGCTTTTTCTTCAACTCCCTCAATGTTTTCTGGTACAAATCATTTTGACAGAGAGCTCTATTACCATAACACAATTTTCTACCCTACCATACAAATAAGTCAAAATAACAATAATATAGAATATAATATAGAATAGGGGTTTAAAAATTATGACTAGCTGAATTACAAAAAAATCATATAACTCAAAACTTTTACATTACTGACATTATTACTTTTAATATGTTATTTTTTTAATTCTGGATCTACAGGAAAGCTTACATTTGTAAATTATTACAGTCTCTAGGGGGTTGAATATTTTTGATTATAATTGTACATATGGGTAAGCATGTCAGATTATATCAGGAGCATGACGTTAATCCGTTGCAGGTTAACAGGATTACAGTAATCTGGCAAGGACATTTACTTTCAGTCTCCTTTATGGCCAGGAGTGTGACTAGGCTCTGCCAACATCAGGGTCCATGGTCCATTTTAGACATAAGGGTTATGTGACCGATGCATATAACATGTTTTAAGCACTGGAAAATGTGTGTACAATAGACTGTAAAAAAATGTTGGTAACATTTTTTATTTGACAGTCCACTTTAGACATTCTAGTTATAAGTAAATTTGTGAGGACATGTCAACTTATTCTACTTAACCCTAACCTAATGGTCCACTAATAGGCTATATTAGAGTTAGCTGACATATAGCTGCAAATTAATGAGTTAGTTGACATGTAGTTTTCAAGTTACTTAATTAGTAGAGTGTTACCAAAATGTTTGTAATTTGCACCGAAAAAGATTGTAAAATGATTTTTTTTCTTTTATATATTTTGTATTTTTATTATTTTTAATATATAGCCTATTAGGATTTTGTTACATTTTATGTTATTTTGTTAAAACTACCCACCTGTAAGTATGATTCATTATTTAAGTATATATTTCATACCACGTGTTCAAAACACAGTTTTTTATTGTATACAGTGTAGACCTAGTTGTTACGGGGACAAGACGTGAGACGTGCGGATCCATGTGCAAGCTTTATTAAAAGCAGAGGAGGTCAGAAACACAGGCAGGGCAGAGAGTTTACCGACGGCCTCCTTAGCCGTGACAGGACAGGACGAGGATTCACAGACGGCCTCCATAGCCGTGACCGGATGAGCAGGGAGTTCGCAACTGGCCTCTATAGCTGTGACAGGATGAGCAGGGAGTTCGCAAACGGCCTTTATAGCCGTGACAGGACAGACAACGAGTTCCCTGACGACCTCCTTGGCCAGAACAGAACAGGCAAAGAGTTTACCGACGGCCTCCTTAGCCATGACAGGACAGAACGAGGATTCACAGACGGCCTCCATAGCCATGACAGAACGAGCAGGGAGTTCGCAACCGGCCTCTATGGCCATGACAGGACGGGCAGAGGGTTCACAGACAGCCTCCTTAGCCATGACAGGACAGGCAGAGAGTTCACCGACGGCCTCCATAGTCGTCCTGCAGCGGACACCATGGCCTCTGGGAGCACAGCAGCGGGTACCGCTACCTCAGGAGGTTCTGCAGCGTAAGCCGCTACCTCTGGAGCGGCTTACATTTCACTGCTGGTCATATACAGTATTCCCTATATAACCATGTATGTGACAAATAAAAAATCTTGAATCTTGGAGATGTTGTAGCCAGTGCCGCTGACAGCTGTGAGGTGACGTGACTCTGGATGATCAGCTGTGAGGTGACGTGACTCTGGATGATCAGCTGTGAGGTGACGTGACTCTGGATGATCAGCTGTGAGGTGACGTGACTCTGGATGATCAGCTGTGAGGTGACGTGACTCTGGATGATCAGCTGTGAGGTGACGTGACTCTGGATGATCAGCTGTGAGGTGACGTGACTCTGGATGATCAGCTGTGAGGTGACGTGACTCTGGATGATCAGCTGTGAGGTGACGTGACTCTGGATGATCAGCTGTGAGGTGACGTGACTCTGGATGATCAGCTGTGAGGTGACGTGACTCTGGATGATCAGCTGTGAGGTGACGTGACTCTGGATGATCAGCTGTGAGGTGACGTGACTCTGGATGATCAGCTGTGAGGTGACGTGACTCTGGATGATCAGCTGTGAGGTGACGTGACTCTGGATGATCAGCTGTGAGGTGACGTGACTCTGGATGATCAGCTGTGAGGTGACGTGACTCTGGATGATCAGCTGTGAGGTGACGTGACTCTGGATGATCAGCTGTGAGGTGACGTGACTCTGGATGATCAGCTGTGAGGTGACGTGACTCTGGATGATCAGCTGTGAGGTGACGTGACTCTGGATGATCAGCTGTGAGGTGACGTGACTCTGGATGATCAGCTGTGAGGTGACGTGACTCTGGATGATCAGCTGTGAGGTGACGTGACTCTGGATGATCAGCTGTGAGGTGACGTGACTCTGGATGATCAGCTGTGAGGTGACGTGACTCTGGATGATCAGCTGTGAGGTGACGTGACTCTGGATGATCAGCTGTGAGGTGACGTGACTCTGGATGATCAGCTGTGAGGTGACGTGACTCTGGATGATCAGCTGTGAGGTGACGTGACTCTGGATGATCAGCTGTGAGGTGACGTGACTCTGGATGATCAGCTGTGAGGTGACGTGACTCTGGATGATCAGCTGTGAGGTGACGTGACTCTGGATGATCAGCTGTGAGGTGACGTGACTCTGGATGATCAGCTGTGAGGTGACGTGACTCTGGATGATCAGCTGTGAGGTGACGTGACTCTGGATGATCAGCTGTGAGGTGACGTGACTCTGGATGATCAGCTGTGAGGTGACGTGACTCTGGATGATCAGCTGTGAGGTGACGTGACTCTGGATGATCAGCTGTGAGGTGACGTGACTCTGGATGATCAGCTGTGAGGTGACGTGACTCTGGATGATCAGCTGTGAGGTGACGTGACTCTGGATGATCAGCTGTGAGGTGACGTGACTCTGGATGATCAGCTGTGAGGTGACGTGACTCTGGATGATCAGCTGTGAGGTGACGTGACTCTGGATGATCAGCTGTGAGGTGACGTGACTCTGGATGATCAGCTGTGAGGTGACGTGACTCTGGATGATCAGCTGTGAGGTGACGTGACTCTGGATGATCAGCTGTGAGGTGACGTGACTCTGGATGATCAGCTGTGAGGTGACGTGACTCTGGGTGATCAGCTGAGACGTGATGAGACTGGGAGATCAGCTGAGACGTGACAAGGCTCTGGCAGATCAGCTGAGACTAGACTTGACTCAGGATTGGCAGCTGTGACATAATGGGGCGCTGTTGTGTCCGCCTTTTTGCGATCAGGCTCCGCTGTCGCCGCCATTTTGTGAGCGTGCTCTAGTGCGGCCGCCATTACACGAGTGAG